ATATCGTTTCTATAATGTAGAAAAATCTCACTATATGTTTTTAGGCTTTTTTAGAGGCTTTTTATTTATATTAAATTGTATTCATACACACACACACACACACACACACACACACACACACACACACACACACACGCACACACACATTTTAAATAAATTGTATTAATATAGACATGAACGTATGTCATACTCAACAGAGATACAAACTAGTATATTAACATTTTTAAAAGATTATTTATTTTAAATTTATGAATAAAATATACCTGAGCACATGGTTTATTTCATGTACCTGATTTGCACGATATATTAATTTATTAAATCATTATTATTTCGATATAAAAAGAAAAACAAAAGTCAGCTTTATAACGTGTGTTCATAATACAAATACTGGACAAACAGAATATTGCTTTAATAGGATACTGCTCTAATATATCCCTATGAATAAAGGATATATCTGTGAATAACTTATTCTGGAAGATTAACTATAATTAACTATAATCTTTAGTTGAATGTAATAGACATTGTATAGCAACAATCGACTATAATAGTTTCAATTTAGACAGTAGAAGAAGACGGGATAAAACGAAAAACGGGAAAAATGACTCAGTTGCTAAGTCTTGTTAGCAGATATTCTTAATAAGATTTTACAACTAGACCAGTTTACTCTGTGTAATCCGTCGTACCTCGCTCTTCCCTAATGTCTATAAGAATTATTGTATAAATATTTTAAGATTTTATATTTTATTTGATCAATGCAGCCGTTTGTATATTTTCGCTGTGAAAAGAATTGTTTTTACTGATTTGTTAAGTGAAAAGAGTGAGGCTGCTATTATAAATCTATGCTTAATAATGAAAGGAAATTAATTATAATTAAATAATTTATAATATAATTATAAATGTTATTTACATATACATACAACATACATATTTACATAATTTACATTAATAATTATACAGGATGATTCTTAGTTGTATGTCAATAATCAATATTACTTTAGAGATTATTCTAGAATTCAAAATAAGAAAAAAAGAACATCATAATCATATACTTCAACTAATGTAAAAATAATCGGAAGACATTTGTTATTAATATTCCGATAAAATATGTCTTAACTTACCTGTTTTTTTTTTATTTTACCCTCTTTTCTAGTGTCCTACATATTACTTATTATTATACTCGATTACAATGTTGATGACAGAATTCCCATAAATAAATTTCTGTAAAATAGATATAGTCTTTAATAATAGCAATAATGGGTAAAATCTACTTCTCATCTATTGATGCGTAAATTTTCCTACATATGACGTATTCCTCAGTGTACAATATTTTAATGTATAAGAATAATGAGCATGAGTTTTGACGTTGACCGCGAAGAGACAAGTGTGCCTCATTTGTATGCAAGATATAGATTATACAGATTTATGTAATATTTTATGATCTATTTCAACGAAAATCTTTGTTCGACAGAGCGACGAGAATGTCTAATGTGTGTATATTTTGTATGCGCTTTGTACAAAACAAAATAAAATGATGAAAAAAGAATCGATCCAATAATTATTTTATAGTGGGATACACATGTATTGCATATTAAGATGAATCATCGCTTTTTAAGTAAATATTTTCATAACGAACGTTCCCAACTAGGCCCACGTAATCATAATAAATAGAAAAAAAAATATTTATTTTTCATTTGAATTTGTTTCTGCAAATATGTTTCTTTCTTTTAAATAAAAAAATCACTCTCTTTCGAGAGGAACAATGCGGAGCGAAATCAAAAGGCGAAAGCGAGATGCTCCTTATTATAACGGAGGTGATTTTTATTTCAACAAAAATAACAATTTACATTGAACTGTTTTGATAATAATATTATCGTGTATGCTACATCTGTAGTTTTACTGTAGGCGTGGTATGCTCTCGCTCGCTATAATTAATTTTCAGTTACTTTGTTTTGTAATTAGTCGCATTAACAGAGCGTGTTTTCGTGGATAATAATCACGTTTTGTAAATAGAGTCTTTCGCTTTTTTTCTCATCGTTTTTTTCTCTCTTTCTCTCTCTCTCTCTCTCGCTCTCTCGCTCTCTCTCTTTCTCTCTTTTCTTTACTCTATTACTCTAGCTTGACAATTCTGCGATCGCGCCATATGCATTTATTATTTTTTGTTAATACTAATATTATTATATTATTATGATACAACATTCGGGAGGGAGCTGTGTGTATCTCGGCGTTATCATATCACTATGTACAGGCTTGTCGTCTTCCACGTACGTCGTAGGAAACGAACGATAGACACTGAACAAATTAATCGATCATCTTTCCTCGACGTGTTACAAATGAGTCTAGGTACATATATATGCGACGTTCGCCTTTTCACGTCGCCTAAATCTCTAATCTAGATGATACTCGTAGGTAGCTGCATTGATGAAGTTCATCTCACCTTTCCTTTGCTGCGAGAAACGCGTGTTTCTCTTTCTCTCTCTTATTTCCGAGGAAGAGACGCCGTCGATGTTCTATTCTCTTTCTTCGCTTCTTACATCTATTGTGTTACAGTACTGTATCGTACCTGAGATTGCTTACGCACAGACGATTTCCCTCGAAAAATCGAATGCAATTGAAGACTTCACAGCAATAACCATCTAAATCTTTTTTTTTTTTTTTTTCAGACACTTGCCAAAGGAAGTCCATGTTTCGTTTTTCAAGATTTCGATTCACCATCCAATGATTACATTATAAAAATAAGTATTACAAAAATAATTCAGTTATACAATATATTATATAATATATATTCTACGTATATAATTATATAATATAATTGTATACAAGTTTGTATGTGTAACAAAATATAATAAGAAATAAGAAACGATTATGATTTCAGTAATAAGTATATAAAAATTTGTTTTGCGAGATAAAAGATAATTGTTATTGTTATTGTAAAGTTCTTTCAAGCGCTTGAAAAAAGAAATAGATTAGATTACTATTCGTTCGAATTTCTTCTCTCGGAAAGGGGATGATAGTTCGTTGAGAAACGTGAAAATCGCCTGCGAATAATCGACCCGTACGAAAGACCCGACACCCTGAAGATCTCTTTAGATACTATGTACCAACGAAAGGGAGTTCGTGATATTTACTACATGTCACACGTTATATGTACACGATTTTTTTCTCTCCAATAGAGCGGGGGTTTAATTCACAATTATCCTTTGTATGTATGTATGCAAGTGTTTATATGTATGTAGCGTTTTATATATGTACACGCAGACCCGTCTTTACACACGCGTGTGTTTAAAAGTTGCTCCTAAGGTCAAGGCGTACCTCGATCGCGCGGGTGATCTCATTTAAAGTGGTGCGATTCTCCCTGGCACTTGCGACGAGCATTTACGATTTTATATTATGAATGAGATGTAACATAAATGAATGTAATAGATTATAACAAAGACAGACGTGAGAGATGAATGCGATAATAAAAAAGACATTTGAAAGATATACATCAAGTTCTTGCGATATTTTATTCTCTAGGCATTAGGACAATATATAAAACGTCTTTTCGAACGTTTTCTTCGTGTCGGAATTAGATCTCGCACCACTCTCGCGTTTCATCGACGACGGGGGCGATCGCTAAATGCGGGCTGTGTGTCGCTCAGGTACTATACGAGGAGGAGAAACGTGACACCGAGTACACTCTTCTAATGAAGTATGAAGTACGAAGATCGAGTCACGGCTGTCACGCGTTGTATGTCCGCAAACGTTATGCCTCGGGCTAACTAGATTAATTCGCTTCAGTATGTATGTGTGTACAGTATGTATGTGTGTTTGTATGTGTGCATATATTTATACGATCTACATATATATGTATATATCTATCTCCACTTAACTCTGGAAGCATTCGACGGTTTTTTTCAGGACCTCAACAATTATGTTTTTGTACAGTGAAGAATCATTGGAGGTGAGTGTCTCCATGACAGGATGCAGTGTTCCGCGAAACTCGTCGATTCTCTTCATCATTCAAGATGATTAATCAAAAAGTCAAACTACGTACTATATAAAAAAAAATCGAAGATAAAACATTTAAATGCTCCATGTATGATTATAATAAGTACATAATTGAATTCTCAGTGTGCGCAAGCTATTACTTTTAAAACGTAAAAATAATCTTTTCTACACGCTTTAAACAGTAAAAAATCATGCAACCATGTGACATAGTAATAATTACATACATGTTATATAATTGGTATAAGTAAAATACGATTTAATATGCATTTTATAAAAAAATGTTTTTTGAAACCTACTTTCTCGTTTGTTTTATATAATTAATTGCACAATTTGTTTTATGAAAAGGGTAAAAGGAATCGCCGAGTAACACATTATAAACTGCCCGTGTCAGAGAACACTTGTTACAGGAGGTGAAAAGAAGAAAAAAGAACGTTAAGTTAAGAAGAGAATAATACCTGTACCGCGCGGAGGATACACTTGTTGTATCAAAGATGCAAGAAGAAAATGCGAAAATACAAATGAACGAGGGCTAATCGTCTGATCGCTGGCGTGTGAATGGAGGCAGTCATCTTTGTACAGTGAATCTCTGTAGTCTTCATCAGTCGTCCGAAACGACACGGAACATTTTTATATATATATTATCGAGGCGCAATCTGGCAGAAGCGGTGATTCACGACGCAGTGATTGAAAGAAATAACTCTCGCAGTGATGTTTGAAGAATTCGTCGGGTGTCACGATGGCGAAGAAACAAGGCGCAGATCGCAAAACAGTTGAAGCTACAAATATAAAATTAGGCTGTATAAAAAGTATGCATGTATATGTGTATGTGTCGTGTGTTGTGCGTTGTGTATGTAATAGAGCATACACATTCTCTCTCTCTCTCTCTCTCTCTCTCTCTCTCTCTCTCTCTCTCTCTCTCTCTCTCGCTCGCTCTCTCTCTCCTCAAAATTGTTTGAAACACAAATAAAATAAATCTACATCCAATTTCGCTTCGCGAATGATAATTCCATCAATTTAATCGCCTGCATATTTATTTTGCCGTCATTTATTAATAATTAAAGTCCAGGAGAAAGTTTTTCCCCCTAAAATCAGTTCGTGGTTTGTTTAAACTCCTAAATACTAACTACGTCGATTTTATCGCTAAACCTAAATTTCTTATACAGTAGCGTGTACGGATTATCTAGCCATATTACTTGTTCAACTTAGAAATTAATATGTACTATGTACAATACACTTTGTGTTACGATTTTTTTCCTGTTTTCTTAAACCCAACTCACCAAGATCAGAACGATCGTCGAAAGTTGATTCACGTCGCCAGAATATCTCGATTTATCCACGCCAGAATATGTAGTACGGCATTTTCCTCCATATTTCTTGCACTTTACTTCTCTCTTGCTCTCTCTTTCTTTCTCATCTTCAGTTCAAACTACAGGCTATGCTTTGCACTGGTATGTAACACAGTTGAACCTATTAATCCCAGATACATCACAGACTCATTCCAAATAAAAACACGCACGCCCTCATTAGCGTTGTATATTATTACATTACCGCTTAACGATTACATATATTTGTTTTTCATTTATGTACAAAAGAAGCGTCTGTATTGTGAACATGGGATATACATATATAGACCTAGATGTTTCACAGATCGGATGCTTGCGCGTATACCGACGTCTTTTTGCGGACTGATCAAGCCCAAGTCAACATAAAAAAATAATAATTCACCTCGATCGAACGACTAAAGCTTCGAGCACTCGGTATATTAGTACATATATGAAATAGAATGGATATATATCGAGTGTCGATCCCGATTTATTTCCTTTGCGAAATGAAACGCTAACGTACATATACATTTGCGAGTATCGAAAAACCTAAAAAGTGAAAAATATGTATATGTATAGGCGAGTACATGTTATTTAACAATTATGTTATGTAACGATTTCTTTTCTTTAGAACTATCGCACTCATAAAATTTCGCTAAACTAAAACTTCCGAACCTGTACAATTAACTCGCGAGATTTAAAAAAAAAGGGCCCATCAAAACCACGGCGGTCAAATGTAATCAGTTTTCCACGTGACGTATACATATACATGTATGTATTTATACAGATAACTTTTATGTCCATATCGGTATTATATTATAAATTATACATCGCAAATAACTAATTATTAGATAAAACTATTCGTCGCTATGTATTTAACTGAAAACCAGCGCAACGTCGCGAGAAGGCAAATAAAATCCAAGTATTCGTTTCGTAAATTTACCTTTCTTCGCGTGACGCGGGAATGATTTTTGACTAAAAATACAATGAAATTACAAAGAGTTTGTAAAACAACAATATGTGTGGGACTCTGTTTAAAATATCATATTTCTCCATTTATCTCGCCGGAGATCGCAATTTCCATATTTATATATATCTACATATGCATATATTTATATATGTATATGTATGTATATATATATGCGTATATATAAAAAAAAGAAGTCTCTTAAATTAGATTAGGATTTGGCGACCGACAAGAACGCAATGTGGCTTCTGATTGCCCGCAAAGCGTCCAATATAATCGATAAATCGTCCAATATAATTAATCATTATTTCGATCGATGATCATCTGCAAATATCCTAAAAAGACGTATGTCACAGCATCTCTCTGCATCCATAATAGCCGTGCATCGTCGCACTAGTATATGCCAGTTTAGCGTAAGAACAGTTACAGCGCTGAACGATTATAGAAGACTATCAATCCTCATCCGAGAGCGGCTCGTATTGCGAGGAAAGCAATGGCGCCGGCTCGGCTTGCATCTGTTCCGATTTTGCCACGGAGGCGGATGTAGCTGAGGCGGGTGGCGGAGCCGGAGGTGGTCCTGTGTGCACTCCTAACGCACTAAATGGATAAAACGTGGTAGTAGCTGCGGGCGTAGGAGGCGGCGGTGGTTGTTCACGAGTGGTTGGATTCGGTCCACCTGTATTGTCGACCACCATCTCATTGCTTCCGCTATTACCGCCACCGCCACTTCCGCCACCACTCGATGGGCTTCTCTCCACGCTTCTCTCTGCACCAACCCCCTTTTCATCCTTCTCAGACACAACGACGGAATTACCGCCTCCGTTTCTATCGCCCGTACCACCATCGCCGCCGCCACCGCCGGCCTTGTCGTCCTCAGTGCGCATCACCTCAACTATCTTGTTTTTCACATAATCGAATGGCGACACGTCGTACGGCGTCGAATGCGACTTGTTGGAGGGAGTCCCGGAAGTGGATGTGGCAGTGCTCGAATCGTACAAGCGACGTGCGTAATGATTGGTAGTTGCTTCCGGCGGCGAAACTGGCTCGACCGAATGATATTGCTGCTTTCCCGATGACTGATGCTGCTGTTGCTGCTGTGTATGCTGCTGTTGCGCAACACGTATTATTTGTCGTTCGTCCCCAGTCTTCACCGAGTCCGGCTCATTATGTTTTCGTCTCTTCCATTGATCTTCGGAAATTTGATATCTATTGTTTAGAAAATAAAGATTTCCATTAGTTATAATATACGAGTATTCGCCAATACACATTGCGATTAAGAAAAAAAAATTAAATGTGTTTTCTTTCTTTCTTTTTACAACAGGAAGTTTCAATAAACTGCTTCCAAAAACTTAAAAATTATAAATCTTATTATTCGTAAGATTTATATTCGATAAAATAAGAATCGACAAAACCGAATAAAATAAATCAAATAAATCAGAGCAAAAAACTGTGAACTTAAATTCATAACTGTGAGATTTGTAATTTAACACATATAAAAAATAAGAGCATAAAAAACCACAGCACAAGTTATAGTTTGTGATATTTAATTATTATTACATTAATTAAAACATTAAACGTTTCGGCCACAATCTGGCCATCTTCAGTAATTCAATAATATTCTTAAAACGCAGAGTTACATCTAGTTGACATTAAATTCAACAGTCGAGAGTTGTGATTAAATAAACATGTTCTTTTATATGTGAAGATTCATACAGTAATGTTACACCGTCAATTGTCATATCAAGAAAAGTATAGAACAAGAATTTCCAGATTCTAAATAAAATTGTATATATTAAAATCTTCTAGTCGGAATATAAAGAAATAGAATCATTACCTGTTTTACAGCAAAAAAACCAAACGATGAATCTCGAGTATTTCTTTTACACAGTTAAAATTTTGTCGTGACATTATGTGTTGTTATTTATCCTATCATATATTTTATCACTATTTATATATCCGAGTCAAAATTTAGAAAGTTCTAGAATTGTTTATTAACAGAAAAAGACATCCTTTTTTAGAAGAGGAAAATAAACCTCAGGCAAACCTTCCGTGTCACTTTGCTTATTGATACCACTTGTTTGTCTTTTTATATGTATCATTTCCGAAATTCTTTTTTTCGCTAAAGATTGTTCTATATCTAAAATTCTTATATTATCCCAATCTAATTCATGCATCTCATTCAAACGGTGACGTGAAATTTCGGAAGAAGGTTTTTTTATGTCGGCCTTATGTTCTTTAATCCGAGTTTTTAATATCCTTTTGGTTTGGCCAACATAAGACGATTCACAGTTTAAGCAATTAATTTTATAAACTACTCCGCATTGGTCATCCTTAGGCAAAGAATCCTTTCCTGTCTTAATAAATGTATTCAATTTATTCATAGGTTTATAAGCTATATTAAAACCGTACACATGTGAAAGTTTTTAAAATTTTTCCGAAACTTTGCCCAAATATGGTATCGTGAAAAATTTTTTTGAAGTAACATCAGAGTCACATTCATTATTAATTTCTTTACGATTTTGATCTAAATTAGTTCTGTTTTCCAACGAAGATGATATTTCCTTCCTGTCTCATTAATTTAACATCTAGGAAATGTATGCCGTTATCATCGCCAAAGTCCACAGTAAATTTAAGCCTTTCATGATATGAGTTAAACAATTCTAGAACTCCTTCAACTTTTTCTTTGTGTATAGCTAATACAATATCGTCCACATAACGAAAATAAAACGATGAATTAATGTTATTCTTGGTAATGATTTCTTGTTCAAAATCTTGTAAAACAATGTTCGCCAGTATGGGGGACAAAGGAGAACCCATTGGCATGCCAAAAATCTGTTTAAATATTTTATTATCAAAACTAAAAAATGTAGAATTAATTATAATCATAATTGCTTTGATAAATTCATGTAAAGGAATCGAAGTCTTATTCTCCATAAGATTCCACCTGCGTTCAATGCTTTTTGATACTAATTCGGTCGGAATATTCGTGTACATGGAGACCACGTCAAATGATATAATACTAAAATTTGTATCAATTGCTTTACCATTGAGTTTATTTACTAAATCAAAGCTGTTTTTAATGAAACTGAAATTTTTTATATTATTATTGTCAATGATTTCCTTTAAGAAAGTCGCCAGTGGATAAAAAGCACTATTAATACAACTGACAATCAATCTTAAAGGGTGACCTTCTTTGTGAATTTTTGGCAAACCGTAAGATCTCGGAAGTTCGCCGTCCGAAACGTACAATTTTTTATATAAATTAGAATCAATGTATCCCTTATTTTTCCAATTTTTTAATAATTTACCAATTTCAACAGTTATTTTCTTAGTGGGATCTTTTTTGATTGAATCGTATGTAGTATGATCATTAAGAATCTCATACATTTTTTCTTTATAGCTATCTCGATTCATAATTTGTAATTTAGTTTTACAAAAAAAAATTTTTCATCACGATATAATATTGAGCTTAAAGAGATGCTTACATTGCGCAAGAACTTACCCAGCGTAGGATCTATACGACGAATGAGGTGGGCCATAATCTTTAGAGACAATATGATCAACATGCTCGCCGAGAGTAATTGCTTTATTGCCGCCACTTCCGTTACCGCTTCCACCATTTCCACCACCGCTGCCTTCACCAGCAGGACTGTGAACTATGCCATTAGGTTCTTGCTGATTTTCGCGATGAAATCCCTACAATGACGAAAAAGAATAGGATTGCGACAAGAACGCAATTTCAAAAAACAAAGCTCTTTTAAACGTAGCGTATGTTTTACAACAAACTAAAAATTTCAAAGAAAAATAAAAATATGTTCGGCTACCTGAAAAAGACGATCGCCAGCACGTGCTGGCTGATTGACTGACGATCCGCTTGCACCGGGATTCTCGACACTCTGATTGATCTGATGGGTGATGATAGCGTCAATTAAACTGGCGGCTGTAAGAGTCGACGAGTCATTCTGCTGACTGGAAGATTGACTTTGTCGCGAAGATGACGATGACGTCGATGATTGCTGCTGCTGCTGTTGAGACTGTTGAGATTGTTGAAGCCTGGAAGGTTGCGAGGAAAATCCGAGGCTTGCTAATCTCGACGAATCTCTATCAATTTGCTGTTGATCTCTGTATAGTTGCGCAATGTGTCTTCTCTCGGCCTCTATACGTTGTTGCTGAATATGCTGCTGGATCTGTTGTTGTTGTTGTTGTTGTTGTTGATGAAGATGCGCCAGATCCCTTTCGCGATGCTGCATAGCCAGGCGACGTTCAACGTCTTTTTCGTGTTGCTGAATGGCAAGCCGCTCCTGTTGTTGCATCTCCTTCTCGCGTTGTTGTTGTTGTTGTACAGCAAGTCGATGCTCATGCTCAATCTCACGTTGTGCGGCAGCTGCCACCATTTTTTGATGTATCTCCTTTTCTCGCTGTTGATGTACGCTAAGTCGATGTTCGTGTTGTATATCTTTTTCCCGTGCTTGCTGCACAGACAAACGAGCGTGCTCGACGTGCATGTCCTTCTCTCGCTGCTGCACGAGACGGTGCTCTTGCTGCTGGAGATCTTTTTCACGTTGTTGATGGTGCTGCTGGACTGCAAGACGGTGCTCTAGTTGTTGCAATTCTTTTTCACGATGCAAACGATGTTCCTCCTTTTCCCGTAGATGAACGAGGTCGCGTTCTCTATCTCGATCACGATGATGATGCTGCTGCACCGCTGCAGCCACTGCTAGTCTGTGTTCTGCAGCCTGCATTGCCGCCATACGATGTTCCTGTAGCCGTATCTCTTGCTCGCGAAACGCGCGGTTATTGTCATAACGATCAGCTAACAGGCGATCTGCCATCGTTTTACCGAGACCCTCATGACCACCACTACCAGATGCAGCTGGATGCCCATGCGGATGTGGTACCGGAAGACTGGGTTGTTGTACTGCCACATCCACTAAACTGGAGAACGCCTCCAGGCCAGGTGGTGGTGGTGGATAGTGCATTTGCTTCTGCGGATTGTGCCTCTGGATAACACCTTGCCGCGGTTGCGTATGTGTTTGTGATGGAGGAGGCGTACCAGTATAGTAGAGAGTAGACGACGGTGGCGGTGGCGGTTCGCTCTTACCGGTCGTCTCAGCAGCAACAGATGCACCAGTGCTACTGCTACCACGAGCACGCGCATGCATCTGCTGACTTGTAATGTAGTCATTCATGATGATCTGTCGGCTGGATAATTGTTGCTCCATCGAATAACTGGGCGGCGGCCGCCCGGCAGCAGAATAAGAGTTGTACTGACTGCCACCATGACTCACTACCACGGCTGGCGATGCTGTCTGACTTGTAGGACCCTGTCCCGGCGGTGGGGGTGGAACATTGCCACCGCCCGTTACAGGCGAATGTCGGATGGTACGATGATAATCATATATAGGCGTGCCGCGTTTGTCTACCGCGAACGGAAGCACCGGTGTACCTTGTGTAATTGAACCACCTGTATCTTTCGGAGTCCCTGGTACAGCGGAACCGGCATTAATGGCGCCACCGCCGCCACTGCCGCCACCGCCTCGTTCACTAGCGTTCGGAACAGCACCAGTAACCGTTGGATTACCAGGTGGCGTCATTTGGCGCAACAAACCTTCGTAACGCGCTGTGGATACAGGCGTGCCATGCGTGATGGAACCACCTTTGTGACCCGGCGTGGCTATAGTACTTAATTTTGGAGATAGCTTGGGATGAGGTGGTGGTACGGTGACTTTGTTCATCTTAGGTGTAATAGGTGCTTGTGGTCGCGGTGACGAAGCATAAATCAATGGACTTTTCGCGCCACGACCTTGTTCGGGATGAGGGGCGTGAGGATGATAATACGCGCCCGGCGGTTCCGGCCGATAAAGCGTAACTGTCGGTGGCTTGTGAAGCTGCATTGAATGATTGTAATCTTGTTGTAATCTTGGTTTTTTGATACTCAAATCCAACGTTCCTTCCGTTTCTCGCAATGCTTGTTGCACTTGCATGACAACCAAACCTTCCTTAGGCAGCAAGTCCGAAGATGAAGTTTGATTACTCGGTACTGCTGGTGGGCAAGGAGTGATAGTAGCTTGCATTTGACCTAAAGAAAATGCATAAATTTAGCCTATTCTGATGAATCATGAATGACATAACGCACAGAATGTGAACAAATAAGAATGGATTTTAAATAAACATGATAAAGTCATACTTTGAAAATAAATTTTATATAAAAATTAGACTTAAGAAGTTTTAAGTAAGAATTCTAAATATAACGATATATTATCAATAAACCTACCAATTGGTTGTGGACTTGGAGCAGAACGATGAGCATGATGAGGTCCCGAAACAACGGAGAGCGTGGCTAGATTTGTATCTCCTCTATTAGACAATGTAGTATTTGCTATATTTGACGACGATTTGTAGCCACGAACATATGTTATGTCATTACGATGATCTGTCTTCAAAATACTAGATATCGTCGGAGTGCCAGAACTATTGGGTGCTGACGAGCCACCACCGTCGGCTGGACTGTTGGGAGTACGTTTTAATTGCATCTCGATGACTCCAAGCATGAGATCCTTGACAGTGAGTGGATTGGAATTACTCGTTGTTGAAGGTGGTGAATGAACAATCGGTGGTGGTTGCGGATGTTGTTGCAACGCTGTTGTATTACTGTTGGAGGTTGTCAGTGTCACCACGACACTGCTATTATCCATGTCAGTACCTCCCTGACCTTCGTCCGCTGTCTCCTGAAACAATTAGCGCACCTCTATCAGACGGTTCTATCGCACAAAAACGTTGTTTTGCGTCTTGTTTTATAATTGTATTCTTATCATTTTTAAATGCTAAAATTAACAATAAAACTAATTATATGTACATCTTATGCAAGACAAAATCCAAGAACTTTGTCTTACCGTGGCAGAACTGTCGTAATCTTCCCTGCCACCTGAAGTAACAGTAGTAGTTCCACTGCTGGAAGACTGTTGAGATGATCCGGGCGGTACAAGTGATACTACGGCTATATCCGAGAGTTTCTCGCCGAGTTTTTGCTCGCTGGATCGGAAAGACATCGATAATGACGACGATGTCGCCGCAGTACCACTCGATGCTACATTACTGCTTGTCATAGTCGTTGCCGGACTTCCTGCGCTGGCTGTATCACTTGAATCATGAACCTAGAAGAGAAAATAAAGTAAGACTAATTGATATATACGCAAATGTACGTAAAATGTTTAATTTAATGCAATCTCTTAATAAAACATTAATGTAAATTACCAATTGTATCAAAAGCTAATTAACTAGTTTCATTTGTAATTTAGAAATAGCAAAATTACGTGTATATATATAATATATATATATATATTTTTACGCGAAAATGTACTTCTCATTTCTGATTGTGTGTTTAACACAAATTAAATAATAATTTTTAGTAATTCGTGAGAAACTTACAGCTAGCTCATCACAACTACTAGTACTACTGCCACTTTCTTCCTCGTCAGTTAAACACGGTCTTCGTTCTTCCCCTAATGAGGCATAGTATTCGGCAACTACCTGATCGAGGCTCAGTTTCTTTCGGTAAGCAAAATAATAGTTTTTGCACTGATGATTTGTTTTGCCGGGTATCTGTTCGGATGTTCCCGAAGTGCCCTGCGGAGTTGTTCGAGCTCCTCGTCTGTCCACTGACGCGATAAAGCATCGGTGCCATCCTCGGATACTTCGGTACCACCGGCGAGATGCGGCGCCAAACGGCGCGATATGCGACTGAAGCAAGCCGAGCAACATTTCGTCGCGCTGTTTGGTATTTCTGAAATAAATAGAATGAATGATTTAGTTACGGAGTGAGCACTTGAATAAAATTCACTTTGTATTTTCATACAAAATTAAATAAAATCTAAAACACACACACACTTGTATATATATATATATATATATATATATATATATAACATAATATACACACAATTATATATAATTAAATTTACAATAAATTTACGGACATAAATTTGCGAAGGGAACACACAAATTTTATAAAAATTTGCAGAGAATACTCACGAAATTCTTGAGCGATTGGCTCCCGAATTTCCGGTGGCAAGTCAAGCCACTTGGAAGGCAACGCTCTTAACCGTTTCACTCTCGATTTAGAGCTGCTCAGATTCGGACAGCCCGGTAGCGGGCAGGCGGTATAACGTCCTCGGACGGCCTTGCAGCGGCAAGTGTTGCAGACACGCGCACCAGGAGGTACTTGATCTTCCCGTAGGCCGTACTGCGATGCTTGACTACGTGGTAACGCGCGACTATGCGCGCTTCCCTCGACGACGTTTTTGCACACCGTGCAAGCGTGAGATCCTATCTGCTTACCACCCTCTGAAATCGTAACAAAAAATTTATTGTACAATATATGTAGGAGTAATGAAAAGAGCAGAGTAATATATACAGAATGTCCCCGTCCACAAATGTCCGAGCAAATATCTCGCGACTGGTTGAAGTTATAAGAAAGTTTAATAAGAGAAATTTGTACGACTCCGAATCAGCTGCAAAGTAGCATGTAAACATTTTTTTCTACTCTTGGCTTTTTCGAGTTATGTGTGGGTAGGTTAACAGGTTTTTTTAAATGGATATTTCTAATTTTTTTTTTGCATATTTATGTAATAGGGAGAGCATTTACAATCAAAATTATATGTAGTAAAAAATTGCTACTATACATCGTTTATGAGATAATCTTAAGTATCAAAGTAAATTGGATTCTAAGTAATTTTGAACGTGGTTTGAAGTGTGAAAATTCAGAGATCGAAGAAGAACAATGTTTTTTGTGGAACATTTATTAACCCATTGCTCGAAATTTTGACCATCGTATTCAATACAACATTCAACGCGTTTTACAATGTTTCTCATTGTTGACTGTAGTATTTCTACTGTAATGACTTCAACAACTCAGGTGATTGTATGTCGTAAATTTCTTCGTCTGTTCTGATTGTACATTGTCTTGTTAGTGATCCTGTTCGACGTAATAGATTTGCGACTCGCCGAAATGTACGATCGTTCGATATCCTTCGTTCCAGATACTTTTGTTGATAAAGTAGCGAAGCTTGATTTTCACTACGTATACTTAAATGTCATATCTCGAACATATCACACTTTTCATTAATTGTATACATCGTTATTTTCGTAATTTACAATATAAATATATTCATTAAAAAGACGACTGATTAACTGACTGACTAACAGACATACTGCATTGAATTTCATACTTCATGCTAGAACAAATATTTTATTTACAAAACAAGCAATCGCATATTTTGACGAGTTGAAGATCATCAGTGATCCTGTTCGAATTCAAAATATAATATTAGTCTAGAATTTTTTCAAATTGTGATAAAGAAAATCAATTTCTTAAGATTCAATATTTAAAATGTCGATTATCTCGTAAACGATGCATAATAGCAATTTTTTATTACATATGATTTTGATTGCAAGTGCTCCCTACTATACAAATATGTAAAAAATTATAGGTATTCATTTAAAAAAATTATGTTAACCTAACTCGAAAAAGCCAAGAGTAGAAAAAAAAATTTTATGTGCACTTTGTAGTTGACTCGGAGTCGCACAAATTTCTCTTATTAAACTTTCTTGTAACTTCAACCAGTTACGAGATATTTGCTCGGATTTATGGACACCTTGTATACAATCATACACGGAGAGAATTTTTTCTTAGAATTTACTCTGAAAATATGATAATTGTGGGATAGTCTTATATTTCAAAGAATTTTAATGTAAGTTTGATTAATTTTACTAAAGTGCATGGTAAAAATCTTTAAAATTGTACCAGAACCACTATATTTTCGAGGGGGTAAATTTTGAAAGAAAATTCTTTTCGTGTAGTTTCCATTTAAAGATAATATAAGGCAATGAAATTTTTATAGAAAACCCGTAAAAAGAATATCTTCTACTAGAAAAATTATTTAAAAAAATTAAGAACGTGACAATTTGAAGAAACAAAAAAAAAACCTTTTCCTAGTAATTTTCGAGAAATTAAATTTGCAAAATTGTCATAACTATAAACACTATTTCTCGCGGAGTAATGCAATGAATTCCTCCGATCATTCCGGGCGATTGAAACGGGGAAAACGTTTCCGAATCGAGAGCGCGTGTTTCGCGCTGATATGCCGTTAGGGACGGCCGATAAAAATCGTATAAAATATAAAAGCGCACGCGAGAGCGAGACCAGGCGACGATACGCTTGTATCAGATGGTGCATATGCAATGCGCCACCACCACCATCACCGCCGCGTGTGTTAGATCCTATCTCGGTGCAATTGCGATATGACGCGCACTGTCGCTAAAACGTCAAAGGGGCTGGTCTATTGACGCGATTCGGCAACGCCAACGTGTTTGCGGCCCGCCGTGAAATATAAATGTACGCGCTGCGCGCGTGTTAGCCGTGCGCGATACGCGGAACGCGTACAAAACGCCACAAACACGCGGCGCGATAATGGCCGATCGTGTGCCATTCCGAGTCGTTAGAGTCGCCAAATGAAATTTCAATGAAGCTCGATAGTGAACTGGAGCATACGCTAAAATGAAATAAATCAAAATAGGCGATTCCTTTTTTTTTTTCTCTTCTTCTTCTTTAAGATCGCATATCATATGTTCCAGTCGAAAGAGAGTGGAAACTATTAATAATATTGAGTCATCTAAAAAGTATCCGCGGTTTTTTGTCACTAGATGTGTTGACCATCAACACTATCTGACCCAATATATATTTCTTATCATTTATTTATCATTTAAAGATATGAAAAGAACGTATGTGTGGCTACACTTGTGTGGATATCCGCGAATCTTACAATTTTAATCTTGATGACCCGATTACGCTTCAATTTAACGTTTCAACTCCAACTGAAACGTTCGATCTTGACAAGTACTTTGGTATTTTCCCACGAAGCTCTTTCGTCAAGACGTATCTATATTTTTTGGAATAAAATCGATGTTTTCCAAGAACGTTAATTTGATCGGCAATCAGATATTTGTAGAATTCTCGCTCGACAATAAACGCGCAAACAGGGTTGTTTCCAACGGCTATTTAGAGAATGTACTCGCGTTTATCCGCTATGAAATTGAGCAAATATAGTTAATCACGAGCAAGGAACCCGAGTGAAAACACGAGCGGTGCGGAAAGCGAAGCGGGCGAAAAGGGGTGCGCGGGGGAGAGGGAGAGAGTTGGCGTACGGAAACGGAGCGAGAGACAGTATAATTACTCGGGACTCAGCTAATTAAGGACGCCCAATTAAAAAGTTCTCGACGTTCGTTCTTAGCCTCCCGCAAACGTCGACGTCGCTCGCTCCTAAATAAGATCGCTAGTTCCGTTCCTCCTTGCGCGCGCGAAACTGCATAAATTTATTTCGCGCTGACAATGATCGGGGGACGCAAAATCGAGCACACCTGTAATAATCCCGATACCGTTGAGATAATATAACCTTTGTAAAATAAATTGTCAAAATAACAACGTTAGCCAAGAGGTTAAAAAAATTTCTCAGAAATCAAAAAAATTTTTAATCGACGCTTGACGAATTCGGAAAGGGCTATACCGCTCGTGATACTTCATGCTGTTATATTTCGCGAGAATTATAATAAATATTCGGAAAATACCTATTCAGAAATCCTCATAATTCCCGTCGTACGTTCTAAAGATTGGAAAATCTGAATTAAACGAGATAAAAAAAAAAAAGAAATAAATAAATTCGATAGTCGTCTTTGAAATTTTCACTGAATACGAATGAAAATTGAGAATTAAACGATGGTCGCTTGATGTTTTGCTAATTATTCAGTGTTCGGTATTCCCCCCTGGGGATTCTACCCCTCTCCTTCTGTCTCTTTCGAAATTCGTATATCCCGGATGCCGCGTGCATCCGCTCTCCAGTGACCTGTCACATCGAGCCGCGCGTCCTCCGTGTCTTTCGGATCGTACGCGGAATTATTGTTGACACGGAATTACGAATGTGACGTCGCACTCGTGGAAACGCTCGGCGATGGCAACTGGCAAGCGAGATGAGCCCGGCGCAAGTATCCTATATCGAATACCGAGCGATTGGAAGAGTTTGCCGGAGTTGCGAGTAGATAGAGGATAACACGCCGTGTGAGAATTCGCGACACTGATTGGCAGGTATTCCCGAGAGCGAGAGGAAAATCGCTCTCGCGTAATTTGCGCGCCTCTGCCCCGCAGATCGACGGACCAATCCCGGCCAAGTAGGATGCTGCACCGGCCAATTTTTCCGCATTTGCGTGTATCTCCAAGTATCGCGGATACCCAGACATCGAACGCTGCCCAGCAGTGTGTTTTCAGAATACACCCTGCGTGGAAATAAACGCGCGGGAAATGTATAACATGCCACGATTTTTCACGATCTGTCATTTACACGACCGACAATAACGTAATTAAATTCGAACGCGTAGTATAAATTCCATGTTATTTTAGGTACATAAATATTTAGATTATACACAAATTTGATACGTTAGCAGCATTATTTAATTAACAAAACGAATATCTTCATAAACTGGTGTATATTATTGATACGTTAATAATACTTCCTGTTATTATACCTAAATTTCCCTCGTTTCTATTATTTTGGACTTTTCAATTTTAATAAAAAAAAGAAAAAAAAGTATATATATATATATATATGTACATGTATATGTATCAAACAGATGAATTTTTTTTTCCATTTTCATCATGCAAAATACGTCATACGTTTCTTCATAATAATTACTTCCTTGGTGTTTTAACGAGATTTTTATTCAACCGTTCGTTTCACCGAGAGCATTACCAACAGCAATCCATAGTACAAAGCGAATACAATATATCCGTGGAATATATAACGCAATAACACACATGTCACGTGGAATAATTCGTAAAGCTCGTTCCCCGTACATTCAAAGTAATACGTGGGGAGATCTCGGGAGAGTGGATCGGGCAGGTAAAGGAGAGTTAAAACTGGATGAAACGTCGTAATGAATAATTTATACGAGAGCCCATTCAATACCGAACCCATGCGCAGTTACGCGATATTCGCAGTCGGCCAATGTTAGGCGGAAACAAATTATCTCGTCATATATCGAGCGGTAGTTTCGAGCAAATTAAGTTCAAGACAGGTGGTCTTTATTTATGTAGGCTCGTGATCGTCTCGATCGTATTTATATATAATTTTCGATCTTACAAATTGGAAATTAGGACAGGAAGTGATAATTAAATTTTTTTCGTAGTAAGATACTTTAATGATTTATCGAGACGCGTAATTGAACGTGTAAAGAAACAAAAGCCACCGCGGTCCAAGTCAAACCCTGCTCAAACGATAAACCTGATGAAAAAAAGATGCGGCTACGAGAACGGGGGACATTACCTTCGCGCTAATTAAGCTCGTTGATGGGGGAAGGGTAATTTGAATATTTCATAAAGGCATTCCATGCCGCGAATAATTTGCCGCTTTGCTTCCCTCTTTCTCCCAGTAATAAGACATTATTCGCGTAATTTGTCTCCTTTCCACAATCTCGCAGAGTAGTCTGCATAATTACATACGTGTGTATGTGTGTGTGTGTGTGTGTGTGTGTGTATGTGTACAATTATTCTCAAGATTTCCCTGTAAAATTGTGACGAATTAAACGACTCTGCACGTGGATTTCTTTGCGTAATTGAGAGTTGAATTTTTGCGATCGACCAAAGATGATTATCAACCGGATTGGTGGGTAATCAAACCCGAAAGGACATTTGCCGTCGTGTCGTTTCCTCGCGGGGATATATCCCGCACATATATCCCGAATAAAATATTCCCTTTGATTGGT